TACATCTGTCACAATCATAACATTATCCATTAACCCAAAGACATGGTTCATCTTTAGATTGAAGACAGAATTGCTTATTAGAGAATTCAGTACATGAGGCTGCAGTCATACAACCTGATCCATTTGTTTTACATCCTGAAAGGAAAGTATTACATTCATCATCAGTTTAGTATCCCAACCGCATCTACCTACTCCGTCCTTAGTTGTTGAGGCAGCTAAACATATTGATTTAGTTAAGTATGAGGAACATACTGAAATAGTGATACAGCCAGCTCCAGTTGAAGTACAATTGTCAGCAAAGCAAGAACATTAAGCATTAGAAGCAATTAAAGCTGATTAATCTTCACAGACCTAAGCTCTGCATGTGGAATTAGATTCTTACTAATCACAGAAATTACCATTTACTTTAGAATTAGTACATTATGAATAATTAGTAATACTAAAATTAGCACATGATGTACTAGAATTTGAACATTAATAAGCCCATATGCATTCTTTTCTTAATTTACATGAAGCTTATGATGTTAAGTTTTCACATTTCATAATACATGAGCATCCATAACCAGTTGTATAACAATCATTATGATATTTCTAGCAATCAGCATCAGTTGTAAGATTATTTGGTGCTTCTGCACATACTCTCTTAGCAAATGCTCCTTTTGATAGTTCCAACTGTAGTAGCTTTGCATGGGCCATCTTTCTCCAAATATGTTGGGCATGTCTCTTCAGTTCCATTGAATGTGTTGCAATTCTTTCCATAATCAATGCATGAAGTTCCATCGAAGACACAGAAAGGATCATCTGCTGTTTTAAATGGTGGCATACCATCATTACATTCTTTTTTGTTTTAACCTGAAATATCACTGCACTTCTTCTTTGCACAATTAGCTGTTGCCAATGCAGTCGAAGTATTCCAGCAATAATCTTTACCTGAAGATCAAAGAATTTAGCAAAAGTTGCTTAATCTCCCTTAAATGCAGCACATGATGATGTTGCATCAAGATATCCAGTACTTTTGGTAATACAACCTTTAACAAAACTAGCACATTCAATATTTGAAATAGCTGTAACGTTATCTGCACAAGTTCTTACTCTACATTTACTAGTGGCAGTATTTCCAGCATCACCAGAACAATATTCTTAAGTTGGATTCTTGTTAGTATCTACTCCAGTGTATCTTTTGAATAATCCACATTATTATTTAGTTCCTCTGTATTAAATTCAGTTTCCTCTTAGCCAGATGCCGGTGTTTAGTTAGCACATGTATCCAAATAGACACAATTATCACCTGTAATATAGGCACATTTATCCATTCCATCTGTTAATGTTTTACAGATGCAGCTTTTTCAGTGGCGTCTTTCACATCATAAGTATCACAACTATCTAATTTAGCACAATAAGCACCAATAGCATAAGTACATTTAGTTTTATTTACTTTAAATATCTTAGCAATCATAATTTCTACATTTAGTGTCTCCAGATGTAAATCAGCATTTTCCACCTGAAGCACTTCTTTTGCTCTAACAATAAGTTCTTTTTTCTGCATCGCTCTATGGTTATGTGTATATATCACAATCACCTGCTTCAGTACAAACTGTTTATGTTGTATCATTATACTCATCGTAAGTACAATAACAACTTGATCCATCTTTTGAAAATATTTAACAATATTATGTTTTGAGATTTGAAGCAAGACTAGCAACATCTGAAAATGGAACTATTGATGGATCTGCACAATCTCCTGCATTTGCTAATGCAGCAAGTCTATTTCTACATTTTTTTGCTTAAAATACACATCCATTTATATGAATATCACAATCTCCTTGTTTATTTGGAGATGAGATGTCTTCACATGTTCCTACTTTACATTTAGTTGTGTCAGCACTATCTTTGATACAGAAAAAATCTTTAACCTTAGTTGATTAAGTTATACAGAAAGCATCAGTTGTTTTTGCAACTCCATCAAAAGTAGTTTTAGTCCAAGCACTAGATAGAGTTAAAATACATTTAGTATTAGTTCCACATTGACAACCTGTACCATCAGGTTTTATCACACAAAACTCCTTTCCATTTACATACAGTGATTTACAATAAATTGCCTTCTTATTATCTGTATCTAAATTTAAATTAGATGGGAATGATGCAGGGCAAGCACCAACTGCTGGTTAACATGTATCAGAGTAATAAAAAATCCTTTTTTTGTTGTTGTCACAATCCTATTAACCAGTAGCAACTATTTAACTGCAAGTATATGCTGCGTATGTATTACCAGATGCCCATGTACATGATTTATATCTCGCAGTTCCAGTGCCAAAATTACCAACAGTATCAACCAATTTTAGAAATTCGGAAACAGTCTGTTTATTTGCATCATTGAGAGTTGGATCTAGATTATAGTTTGAACATAAAGCAACTGTAGATACATGATGTATTGGTCACTTTTTAGCAAATTCCTTTACCGAAACCTAGAATGTTGTTACAAGCTTAAGCAGATGTTTGAGCAACAATTTTTTCACAACTGTCTTATGAAGTACAAGTTGCATCACCAGTTTTAAATGAATAAAATACACCAGAAGCAATTTAAAATTTCTAGCAATATGCTAATTTTTGAGCATCTGTCAAACTAATGCCAGAAGGGAAATGATACTTTCAATCAGTTTTATCTTATTAATAACACTATGTGCCAGCTAATTTACAGACATCATCTGTTGAAGTTGATACATTCTTTTATAAATAAGTGATACATGAAGATGTAGTTTATTCACTCAAGAATTTTTCACAAGTTCTAGATGAACACTTGGTTGCTCCGTTTGTAAAACCACATAACAATACGGTGTTATCTTTAATATTTGAACAATATTCAAATATTAAAGATAACACGTTGCTGTATCAGGTAAACTATAAGCACTTCAAGCTGCTGCATCAAAGCATGGAGATCCAGCCTTCAAGAATCTACAAGTTGATTTGTGATCTGTATAATCCTAAGCTGATTAAGGATTGTTTTATCTGAACATAATCTAGTTTAGTAAGCATCATATTTTGTGCATGATTTCTTGGTCCAAACTGAAGAAACTTATAAACCTCCACTTAAATTAGGACAAGATGCAACTGTTCCTGATTATTAAGCACAAGTTCGTGCTGATCTAGCAACAAAACCTCCTTCAAATATAGCAATACATTCTGATATGAAGGTTTCACACTCATCATTCTTTGTGGCTGTAGTATTATCTGTACATTATCTCACACTGCATGCAGCTGAAGTAGATCTTCCAAAATAATATTTAATACTATTACTTCCAAAAACAGCAGCTTCACAAAATTCTAAAACACCTGTATAACTTGCACAAGTTGTATCACCAGCTTTTGGATCAAAACATCCTCCATTTCCATTATAGAAACAACCTTCTAAAAATGATCCGCATGTACCATCTGTTTAGTTTGTAGCCAATTTGCATGTTTTAATTTGACATGAATCATTTTAAGTTGCTGATGCACTGTGATAACATTGATTAGATGTAAATTATCACTAGATCCAGATTTATAAGCAAATAGCTTATTCCATGTTTCTTATGTTCCTTTCATTTATTAGCAAGTAGTATTGTAATCAACACAGCCTTTCCAATTAGTAATGCATCCAGGTAAGAATATTGCACATTTGGCATTATCAGTAGCATCTGATTATCTGTGAACTTTCTTTATACTAATGCTGTAGTATCAGTAGCTGTTGATGTATTTGTACAATTACCTGGATAACTTAAAAAAGTGGATTATGTTCCAAAGAGTTTGCTACAATCATATTTAGTTATGCATGCATCAACTCTATTTCTAATTCATGTTAATAATTCTGCTGCACAATTAGCATCTGTATTTTAATAAGCACCTGTTAAATCTAAGCAAGCCAGTTCCTTACAAGCATTATTCAACCAACCACACTTTTTTGTTACATATATGGATAATGGATTTCCATTATCATCATTTTTATCAAAAGTTCTGACTCTAGCAGAATTGGCTAAAAAAATTGATTCTTTCTTAAATTCACTGCATTAAGCATTACTTGTACATATTGGTTAACATGAACAATTGGTTGTACCTTCAAAACTTTATGATTTAACTGTCAAATCACAATTAGTTTATGAAACACATCTTGATCCAGTAGTAACAAAATCAGTGAAATAATTAGCACATAGAGGATTAGTATTTAAATTAGTTGCTGCACTTGTGCAATCTCTAGCTACACATTTGGTTCCACTCTTCCACATACATTTTCCTTCAAATCCAACTCTTGATTAACGAGTAGTAGCATCACCATCATAAATAGTACAAGATTTCAAATTAGTTTTTGTAACACAACCTTTTCTTGTGGTGACACATCCAACTTAATATTTATTACAAGCCTCATCAGTTGTTGTTGTATCTGGAGCTTCATCACAAACTTTTGGTAAGCAAAAAGTTTCAGATGTTGTACTGGTTCCTTTGCAATATCCATTAGTACCAATATATACAGCACAAATTGTGGCAGTACCTTTATATGTGTTACAAGCTGTTAATTCTGAAACACAATCTTCTTGCCATTTGTTCTACAACTAACTTGGTATTATTTGCAAAGTTCATCAGTATTGAAAGTACCATTTCATATTATTTTGCCATTACTTAGAACCACCAGCATCTCCTTTACAAATACCATCTGCTCCAAAATATCTTACGCAATTTGTGTTATAACTAATCAGTTTTATCTCCTGAATATGTAGAACATAAAGGCTTTGTTGTTGCTAAAACACAACCTTTTCCTGTTGTGATACATCCCTTTTGATATGCTTTGCCATCATCATCAGTAGATAAAGATAATAGAGCATTTGCACATTCCTTAGCTATACAATTTGTGGTATAAGCTGCTAATTCACAATTTCCATCTGATCCAATATATGATTAACAAGCAGCATCATCTCCTGTATTAGTAGCACAAGCAGGTCTTGGAGAATTAACACAACCTTAACCTTTTGTCACACGACCAGCCAACTAAACTGAACATTTTTCATCAGTATTTAAACTAGTATCTTCTTCTGAACAAGAGTAATCTCTACAAGCTCCAGAGTTTGTATCCCAATTACATTTGAAAATACCTGAAATACTTGGAGTTGATTCGCATTGTTGTTAATTGTATTCTTTACATTCATTTGCTTCAATACATGCATTTCCATCGCTAACCCAAAAGAAGGACATTGCCTAACAATCTGTTGTTGTAGTTTTAACATATGCTGGACATCCTGCAAATTATGTACATTTTGAATCGATAAAGGCACTTCCTAATATCTTAGCACAATTTATTTCTGGCTTATCAACAAGCTCACAATAAGGTTTGAATGAAGCTACAGGATCCACTCTTGTCTTTTTCTAACATTTTGCTGCTGTTGTTCCTGCTGCAGCTACCAATTCACAAGCTCCTGTAACAGTAATTTCTTATTCACAATCATTCTGTCATTTTAATTGTCCACAATTACTGCACTGATTTTTATGTTGTACTTGTTATGTTAAGACCATAGTTATTAAGCAGATGAGAATTAAATTCTTCATTTAAAGTATAAATAAAAATTATTAGATAAAGGGAGGTTAAATAATCTCAAAAAATTAATTTTTTTTGCTTAAATGATTGCATACTAAATCTTAAAAAGTTGATTCAGAATTAAAATTGAAAATTAATGACATCATTAATATTTTTCACTTTTTTTTTTCTAGATTAATTCCAAGAACAAGGGATCATAAAGAGTGTTGCTGGTTCTCAATTATATATATTAATTCAATGATTCAATTCAAAACAAAAGTATATTCAACTTAAAAGCTTTTAAATACATGTTTTAACAGAACTAAAGAGAGTTAATAAAGCTATGCTGAATCAGAAGAGCCTGGGAAGGAATGTATTTACAAAAGAAATAGAAAAGTCATCCTAGTTTTTAGTAAAATCCTTGACTCATAATAAATATACATATATTTAAAATTTTTTCCTTTCCTTTATTGCATGAATTTTTCAAGTATTTCTTTGGAATATGAGTACATAGAATCCTTCCATAATCAAAAAGATTTTCGCGTTTGTGGAGACTAGAAAAATTTATTAAGAGCATGAATATTCAGGATAAAATTCCAGAAATACCATATCATTCAAGATTTAATGAAAAATTAAAAGGATTGGAACTTTGGTTTGATTTTTACAGATAAAATATATAAAAATAGAAAAGTCAATATAATGATGAAAATGGTAACAGTAAATCTTAAAACAAAAGGTTAAAGGTAAAATTACTTCAACACTCATAGATAGAAGTAACAGTAGTTCAAGTTGATTAATAGAAGTGAAAATATATTTTTGCTCGAAACAATTAAATAGTAATTAAAAAACTCCTTGTTATGTTTCTAGAAAATCTCAAAAATATTTTAGGGCAGAAATTTACTAAGCCTCAAACTAATTTATAGAGAAACTCTAAAGTTTGAAAATTGGACACTATTTTAATACTAAAACATTTATATATAGGTAATAATTATGTTAACAAAAAACAAGAAATTACACAAGGCAATCCAATAGTTGCAAAATAGATAATACAATCTTTAGTATTTTTCTATCAGTTAGTCAATTAATCTAATTTTAAATAAAGAATGCAAAGTTTTTGTTGGATAAAATATTCATAACAATACATGTTGTAATTAAATAATATAATGTCAATTAATATTTTAAATGAAAATATCGACTCAAAAATAAAAGAAGATGAAATGGTTTATTATAGTGATAATATTTAATTAATATGGCAGGAAGTATTCATAAAAATGGTATATCTAGAATGATGTTCACGAATTACTGTATGACTATATATGTTGGATTGAATGTATTGATTGCTGGGAAAATATAAAATATATTATTAAAAATTGTTATTTTATTGATATTTCATGTTGTTATATTGAATGTTTAATTGAAAATAAATACTAATGAAATTAAATAAAATCTCAAAAAATATAATCTTCATTATATCCAAATCCACCATTTGGATGGGTGAGAAAGTAATATAATATTTGATATACATATTTTTGGTTTCACTTATTGTTTAATTTTTATGCATTATATATTAGATTTATATCAAAAATAGAATAAAGCATTATAAAACATTAATTAAAATAAAATATAAAATGAATATGAAAAGGGAATTATTGAATGAGCAAATAATTATTTAAATAACCATAAAAGGCAATTTAAATTCCATCTTAAATGTTAATGAGACCAAATTTTAATTTTAAAAAACAAATGTGTTTATTGCTTTCATTGGTTGCCATATTTAGTGTTTCACATTTTTCAAAAACATAAAGTTACTTTAATGGCATAAAGGAGATAAGAGAAGAAGAGTTCTAAGAATAATAATATTTTTCTTACGATACTAGGTTGTATTATCGTATTGAATTTCGAGCATATTGCTTTAATTAATTAAATGTTTGAATATCATTTGTTTAGGTATTTTTTAACAAAAAAAAAGAAATTTCTTATCATTAGTTCACTTTTTTCAATACATCACTGACTTTTTATATTTGGATTAAATTAATAAAGTATTGATTATATAATCTACATGATCATGACAGGCTGAATAATCATATTTAAGAAAACAGACTTTGCTATTTTGAGTATTTTTCTTATCAATTATTATTTATGAAAAATTTGGAATTGTTCTTAAATTTTTAATTAATTTTTAATACAACTGAGTTTGAATTAATTTCAAATAAATATTTTCATTTAAATAAAAATTGAATCATGAAGTTTTTAAATAAATTTAAATAATGATCTTAATTCATCATATAAAAATTTGAAAAATATTAAAAAGGTATTGAATTTAATAATTAGGAATGGTTTAGATAAGAACCTTAAAATTTGGATATTAAAGTGATAAATCTCATTTAATTATTAGATAAAGGTGATATGTTGGAAATGAATTAATACATCAATTAGATATCTCAAGAAGAAAGTTAAAGAAGTTAAAAGCACATCATTGGAATCAATAGAATTTAAATTTTCATTAAAATTAAATACGGTTTAGTTAAAGAAAGAAAATAAAGGATATGGACAATAATTAATATTCACTGAAATGTACTGTTCTTCTGAAATTCGTATCAACGACAGCAAAAATAAGTTATTAAAATTTAAAGCTTGAATTTCGGTTTTAATAATTAAACATGATGTACAGCCTATGTGTATAAATAATATAAATGAGAAGGATTGATGACTATTTGCTAAAACTTCTCTTAATAATTTTTTTGTAATAATGAAGTTTCAGAGAAGTTATCCTAGATTGGAACTATTCATTTTTATAGATACACCAGAATCATTTTAAATAATATTATTCTTGACTTAGATAACTTATGGATATAACTACACCCTTTCAATAAAAAAATTTAGGAATTAAAAAAAAAGATAGAAATTGTATTTTTAATGGTTTAGATTTTACATTAATTATATTATTCCCTAAGTATAATTAACATCTACTAAAGGAAAAGTATAATCTTTAGAAAAATAGATAAACTTGTAAAAGGAATAATGGGAATTAATGTTTTTTTTATATATAATTCATATATCTTTATCGAAATTGGTCTAAACGGTTAGTTATCCGTATTAATTTTTTTATTCATTAAGTTAAACCCTAAAAATACTATAGTATATTACAATTTTCTGAAAATATTGTTTTGTTTGAATTGAATTTTTCTTATTTTTCCAATATTTTATTTTGCTTTTTCTTCTTTTTATCTCCATTTATTTAGTCTATTTCTTAGAAATTTTGTAATTGCAAAATTAGGTTTACAAGCTGAAAACATATTTATGAGTAATGAAATGACTTTTACCTTGTGTTTCAGAATATAAGTATTTAGAATATTCATAATAAAGGGATAACTCAATATAATACTATTTACAATTATAAATGTTTGCATGATCGCTGAAATATTATCATTTCCTTTTTATTCAGATATATATTTGAGAACTGCTAAAAATATTGCAATTAAGCATAATTATACACTTTAATTATCTAATTAATTAAGTTTCTTAAGAATATAAGGTTGATATTTATAGGCAATCAATTAGTAAAACAACAAGCAAAGGCTTAATAATTATGCTTTAAAAAATATGTCAGTTTAAAAATATATCAGGATCAGAATGATAATTGTTTTTTTCCATAATTTTATAATTTCCCAAAAATAGCAATTTTAAGTATATTCATTAAATAAATATCCTAAATGTCTTCGAAACTTTATTTTATCATGTTAATCCCTATTGATGTACAAAATCAAAAATATTAATAAGGGTAAAATTAATCCAATGAAACACGATCCAGGTATTGAAAATCCATATATCCAAGAGATATGACTTTTAGATCCATACAGTAATGATACATCACCTGATATATAATTTATATTTGAAATCTATCTAACAACTAAAATAGAAAAAAATCTAGTTAATATAAATAAATATTGTTACTGATTAAGTAAAGAAGCATAATTTTGTACATACATTTATAAGATAGTAATTGAAATAATCAGGCTTTTGAATTTAGTGTTTTTAATTATTGAAACAATTTTAAAACCAATAAAGATTACTAATATTTAACAAAGCATAAGGACTAACATAACTATGATTCTACTGTAATATAATTCTATCTCTTATATTTCAGACAAAAAACATTCAAAAAAATTAGTCATAAAATATGAAGTATCATTGGATTATTTAAAAATACCTAAAGATATGGTTAACTTAATATTAAATGTAAAGATGAGTGAAAATATCCATAAATAATTAAGAAATAATTTAAATAAAATACTTTCATGATCTAAATATATTAATATAAATAAATTAATACCTTAATTTAGTTTAAATAAAATATGAGCAAACTTTTATCTAAGTTTAAGTTATGCAAATAATATATTTGATTTTTCAATACTGCCAATAGTTAATAGGGTTGATAAAATAGCCCTATTATTTATTAAAATTGCAATACCATATTGAAATTAAAAAAAATGCTATTAACCGTTTGGTAGTATCATTCTACAGATTATTAATTTTTAAAGAATTATCCATCTCCTCTTATATTAAATCTATCACATTCTTCACAAAGTCCTCCTAAATGTCCCTTAAAACATAGTTCATTACTAACACCCCAACCTCCTTAACAAAGATATTGGTTTTTATAACATAATTCTACATCATCAGAAGCCTAATTTGGTCTCCAATAACCAATTTTTAATAGAATTTTATTAGATGTAATTGCTTCAAATTTATTTTTATCAAAAATTGAACATTTTGTTGTATTATATGTTACTGAATAAAACCCTTATTCTGATTAACATTATTGGCAACTTGAGGAAATATAAAACTCCCCTAATTAACAGAGAAAGGCTTTAACTCTCATTAAATATGCTAAACTCTCATCATAATAGTTTGTTTTACAATTAATTAAAATTTCTTAAATTTTTTTATCTTACTCAAAAGGATCAATAATAAAATCTAAAAAACCTAAGTTAAAACTTTTTGTTTCATTCTCAAAATTTATTTTTGATAT